ACACACACACACACACACACACACACACACACACACACACACACACAGGCACAGATTCAAAGTCTTTGGTATCCAGTTTAGTGTCGCAAAGAGAGACAAAATCTCATAAGCTTCATTTTCACAGAAACCAAGCAGCCAACTATGAGAGGTGATTTAGATGTTGACAGGAATTGAAGCCTGCTGAAACTTCAGGACCAGGACATAAGCTGTTATAGGTAATGCATGACTCAGCAACTGCACAGCCTATTTGTGGCTTCAAATTAATTTAGCTACGGATTTTGGCAATACATTAGTGGGAATTTAATGTTAATGTTCCCACAACAGCTTTCATGTTTGTTTGTTTTTTTTCCAGTGAAAAGATTACTTTTCATTCTGTGCAGAAAGAGTTGATGATGTCTCAGCACCAAGGACAGTGTCATTATTCATTGTCCTTGCCCCTAAATTAAATGCCTGTTGATCTCTGCCTGACCACAGTTAGAACAAAACTAGTCTTGCCAGAAGCTCTGTGAGGCTGTACTGAGGCACAGCGGTGCTTTGAGCTAAATGCTAACATCAAAATGCTAAAGACTGACAATGACAATGCTAACATGCTGATGCTAAGCAGGTAAAAAGGTTTGCCAAGGTCACCCTCATGTTAGCATGCTAACCTCTGCTAATTAGAAGTTATGGCCAAGTACAGCAGAGGATGATGGGAATGTATTAGTTGTGTGGGTGTTGGTCTTAAACCACAAATACGAACCTCATGATGGCGCTGAAGGAAAAGTCAGGGGGCCGCCTCCCCAATAAAACATCTGCACAAGATTTTGTGTCAATCCATCAGGATTCATCCTCTGGGGACTATGCATGTATGTACAACATTTAATAACAATCCCCCCAGTAGTTATTGAGACATTTCAGTCCGGACCAAAGTGGTAACACACACGACGCTAGCATGTTTCCAAACAACATCCTGGGCTGGCTTTGTAAGGTTGCCTAAAAAGTGTTGTTTTGTGATGTGAAGTGTGTGAGAGAGCATGAACTGGTCACTACCCAGGTGTGAAATCTCTGTGAGCTGATCTGTGGCCTATCATGAAATGAACTCCAAATGTGTTTGTGGGTACTGCTGTCAGCGAGTGTGGCGCCCGCTCGTATGTTCATTGATGTCACCCTCAAGTGTGTGAGAGGTCCAGAGTATGCACTGTTGAGCGCAGGCAGAGCAGAGAGGCTGATGAGGCGTTCAGTGGTGTCACTGCTTCTGCCAAACATCGGCAGAAAGCTGAGCTCTCATCATAGCCTTTACAACGCTAGCTGCTGCTGATACACCTCCAGTGTAATGGGGCGTGGTGAGAGAAGAAGACGGCGAGAGACAGAGATCCGTGTCATGGCTGTTCACCTCTCTAACAGGCTGCTGACAGATAACACAAACGCTCTCTTGACGCATGGTCAGAGACGGTTGCAAACACACACACACACACACACACACACACACACTCACACAAATATCAGCCAACTCTATGACCTCAGATTTTTCAGTCCAAACAAAACTAATATGCTGGGATCAAGTTTTTTAGCTGGCGGAAATCACATATTTACCAGTAAACTTAAAGTCTCATGCGGTTGACTTTACAGTGTCCCACAGGAAATCTAAGATAATTGCTTCAACATTTCAACATTTTTTGTAAATATTCATATAAAAATAACAAAAAGGTGAATAGAGTTTAAACACCTTTAGACATTTTGTTTGTTTGGAACAATTAAACTTGGGCTGCAACCAACCAATCAATTACTCTCGATTAACCATTTAGTCTGTAAAGTGTTATAGTGAAAATATAAATTCAAAACCTCACACTTTCTTCCTTTTAGTCCAACTGTCCAAAATCAGAAGATAAAAGCAGTAAATCGTAACATTGGAAAAGCCACGTTTAAGAAATATTAATTTTTTAATGATTGAAAAAACGAAACGATTCATTGATTACCAAAATAGTTGCTGATTAAGTTTTAGCTTTAACTATGGGCATTTTATCAGACATCTTATTCTATTTCATGTCATTTATATTTGCTTTGGAAATGTACATGTGCATCATGCAAATAAAACTCCTTTAATTGAACTTAATTTGGCCTAAATGTCATCTTCAATTCATGTGTCCATGGAGAGACGTAGGGAGGTCAGTGACCTGGTACAGGATGTTCCCACACACTCTCATCAGCCGTCTATTGTTCCAGTGGAGCATCAGAACATCAGTATTTTAATGTCACTGAAAAGTGATCGCGAACATTCTGCCTTTTACAGACGGCTGCAGCTCTGCTTGGTGGTCCTGATCATAGTTATCTGACCATGGTTATCCGTTTTTTAGTCCATACAGTTTATATTACAGTTCACCATTTCGCAACGCACATCATAACGTTTTTCACTAATTTCCTACCTAGAAATTGTCTTCCATTCAGTGAGTTCACTACAATATGAAAATCAAATGCCGAAAATTGTAAAACAAACATTGCAATTTGTCCCCGTCTCTAGAAACTACAAAACAAGACTCAAGAGTTAGGTCAGAAGATTGATATCCCTCTCATATCTGTGTGGTAAATATTAGCAGCCAGTTAGCTTAGCATTGAGACTGGAAACAATTAGCATGGCTCCAGGCCGTGTCTCCTTGCAACCAAGAAGTCGTTCCATTTCTTGGCACATAACTTATACTTTGGTTTTTGTACGGATTAAACAAAACAGATATAACATGTTACTTAGTGAGTTTTTCATTACTTTTGGGCAGAGACAGGCAAGCTGTTTCCCCCTGTTTCCAGTCTTTGTGCGAAGCTAAGGCTGCTGCCTCCAGCTACATACAGGAAGCATTTTAAAAACAGGCCCTGCTCTCAACTCTATCAACTCATCTCAACTTATCATGCAACACAAAATTCATCTTTTTGTTTTTGTCAAGCAACTTTCAAGTCCCTGCAAGCTGATTTTTTAAAATCATGAACTACCTCTCAAATGGAAACAATAGCTGCTTGGAACGTTAGAAAATAAACAAAAAATTGTCTAAAATTGTCTAAAATGTGCAAACATGGAAAACATTTAATTCATTTGTTCCTTTACATTTTGGGAGATCCTAAATGAACTCTGCTTCACCTCACTATCAGACCCTACTAGGGTGCTGTTTGGCTTGTTCTGCAGCGTGGTCTGGACACTGATATACAGCCAGTGAGGCCAAAGGTCATAGGAATGAAGGGTGAATGATGTGTGTGTACACTCAGATGAAAAACTGCTTATGATGAAAATGATGTTACTGCCAAACTTTGAGAGATAAAGCACTCTGTATAGTTGATCCTGATAAGGGAATATTGTCCACAGATGACTGACTTTTATTTGTATTGTCGTATTTAGCAAGTCTCCAATATTTCAGGTGCTCTCCCTCTATCTTACTTGTTTTGTCTTTAAATAATCTGTTGACTTCTAGTGATGTTCTGAGCAGCCGAGAGCTACTGGACTTTCCCTGGAAAAGCACTGGTAGGCAGCGCTGTGTGTCGGTGTGTCATGGAGTAATATGCACGAGAGAAGGTCATCTAAGCAGACATTTACAGTACATTTATTTGGAGGTAATGGATAGGATGGTTGTGTGGAAAGGTGAACACATGTGCAAAATCAGGAGCGTTGGCACACACAATAGACGGAAAAAACACATTCCAAAGTGGCAAGATGAAGCGCTACAAGAGGCCCCTCAAGGGATTTTCACCACACACAGTAAATCATATTATTCTCTGACACGTACCAGACTAAACCAGAATCATTTCTCAATAATCACCTCATTAGTGTGTGCACATATTTCATGATCTCCTCATTCCTCTGCACCAAAAGATCTTAGAAATCATCTCGACTGCATCATTTTCTATTAGATTGTTTTCTATTGCCATCTATCCTCCCCATGACCTGCCACCAAAATAATTTAACCACTTATACTAACCAAATAATAAAACGTGATTTCTAATCGGACCCCATATAAAACAAAAAAGAAGTAAGTCTAACTCACTCAATAAAAGCTGTATAACTATTAAGAATCCGTATGGAAATGAATATTGAAAAGCAGTGTCAGGAGGTCCATGAAAATAAAGCTGGTCTGAAGTGTCGATGAATTTAACTGTTTGTATCTGTTCAAAGGGCATCATCTGTTCATATCTGAATAGTGAATCTGTCTTTGTTAACATTCCACATTCATACACAACAATGATAATATAATGCAGACCAATACAGCACCACCACAAGCTAAGACTACGAGATTGTTGAATCTGACAGTGTCAACAAAAACTGAACCAGATTTGCTGCAGGACTACTGTATTGTTATGCTGTCATTTCACTCCATCCACGCTCCTCCGTCCTTACCTCTATCAGCCTGTCTTGTGGCCGGAGCCCGGCGTGGTCTGCAGGGGATCCTCGGTCCAGGGAGCGGATGTACTGTCCGGGCCTGGATCGGTCACTGTGGAGGTTGAAGCCGTAGCCCGTGTCAGAGCGCATCAGGTGGCACAGACGTGGAGCGACCTCGGACGGGTCGACTGGGGGCCGTGACTGGGATTGGGCCTGCTGCGCCTGGGCTTCAGCCTGGGCAAGAGCCTCCTGGAAGAGAATGAGAAAAGTGTGTACTTGTCTTTTATACAGGTAAAAAACAAACAAATATACATTCAAAGGTTCATCCATTAGTTCACGATGACAAAACATGTGAAGAAGATAGCAGAAGAGCTCCATGTAGAGATGGGATCATTCTCAGCTAGGAAGTAGCTTGAAACTACAGCACAACATTGGTATTTGCATCGTTTAAAAACTATAAAAGAGATCTAAATGCTGCAGCATATGTAGGCGGGACATTCTGCTGTCTGCAGGGCATTTTAACACAGCAGGTGACTTAATCACACAGCTGAGTCACTTTACCCATTTATAACAACCACCTTTCAAACCTGTAGGGGGACTGCTTTATATAAATAATACAAAGGTGGTATCCTCGGTTCTGAAACTTGAAGCCAATGTGGAAATGCTTAAAACTTGAAGTCTGATTGTATAGAAGTCTATGAGAAAATGATCCTACTTCTCACTTGTTTTATTACCTCAGTAAACATTGTAAACATGAGTTTATGGTCTCAGTTGCTAGTTTCAAGGCTTCTTCAATACAGCATGATGTTCATTTAGTAAAAGATGGTCCCATTTAGAGTAAAATAGACGATAAAGCAGGGTATGTTTTAGGGCGGGACTACCTTGTGATTGACAGGACACTACCACAGTGTTGTTGGATCTGGGTGTTTTCGTCTTAAAACTTGAACCCTTTCACAGTGTCTTTTCAGTTCATGAAAGTTAATTGTAACCTATAAAAATGTCTCATTCAGGTTTCGATTGTACTACGTGTCAATTCTGGTTCCAAAAAACCAAGATGGTGACGGCCAAAATGACGAATTAGAGGCTGTAAAACTGTAGTCCACAAATCAATGGATGAGGTCACGGTGGCTTTACCTCCATGTCTTATAGCCTAAGATTATAAGGCAATGCAATCCAAATCGCAATGTATACTGTGAATGAGATACAATAATTGTTCACTAATGTACTTCATTCTTTGTGGATTGCAGAACTATTGTCCTCATTATGTTTTCATGTTGTGCTGCCACTCATTAATAGAATAGATTTTATTATAGAGCTTGTTCTGGAGTGAATTTGTCCATTTTCAGCAGATCACTGAGAGCTCCAACAGCCTGGGTGAAGGCATAGATAGAACTTGTATAATTTTACCTCGAGCTCCGCAGTGTAATCACACTGATTTACCACCTACACACTGGGAAAGAAATGTGCAGTGAGAGAGATGATAGCCGGTTGCCAGCTCTGTAACCTCAGCTGATATTAGCTGTGAGGCAACAGACAGGTAGAGTGGGTGCTGGGTGACCAAATATGGGTCTACATACGGTGCACATATTGTGTGCATAGGAGAGATCTGCAATCATATTACGCAACATGAGAAGTTCATTGTTTTCACTGTATGTGAGGCTGCCATCATGGTCCAGCTTGTGCCGGCTAAAAATACATATGAAGTATGTGGGCAGGGTGAGCGAGAGAGAGAGAGAGAGAGAGATAGAGAGGTTCTGTAGTGTGGAGAGAGGAGAAGATTGTTTATGATGTGTTCTGACAGAAAGAAAGTACCGTCGATCACCACAACACTGCCTGCAAATCTACCTCGACTGTTTAAAAAATAACACAGATGGCAACATATAATTTAATTTCAGGCACTGAATTCTTTGGGAATTCTTAGCGGGGATCTGGGCAGCTTGCCCTGAGAATGAGGGAGAGAGAGAGAGAGAGAGACAGTAAAAGCAACTCTCATGAATCCCTCAAGATCTCCCTTTTCCTGGCTGGAGATGAGGTGCCTGGGTTGGGCAGCTGGGTTAGAACTTCCAAGGGGGAGGAAAAAAAAAATATTTAAAATCAAATTAACATCGAGGCAAAGGAGAAAAATGGCAGAAGGAGGGAGAGGAGGAAAGGAACAAGCAAGGAGGGAGAGAGTGCGTGGGAGGGATAGAAAATGAGATGCAGCGAGAGGATTGAAAAAGAGAGTTCAAGAAAAGAAACAGTGGAGTTAAGAGTATGCAGAGCCCGGAGAAATACAGCGGACGGATGAATACAATAAATACAGAGCAGTACAGAAAAATCAATAACAGAAGTTTCCAGTCAGCGACCACGGGGAGGAAAAGAGTTTTCAGTGGAACTCCTCTAACATAAACAGTGAGAGTAGCACAGCTGGGAGTCATTATGTGGGGGAGATGCAAGTGTCTTCCAATCTAACCTCGGACTGCTTCTCAATGCCTGTCCGCACCACACTAATCACCCCCTGGGCCCGGTGCCATCTATTAAAGCCTCAGCCTTTGACGTTTGTGTGCATTTTGATCTGAACAAGCTTAATTGTGTCGGTGATGGAGGGTGACAACGCGACTGTGTGTGTCCTCTGCTCTTTACTGATGGATGCAGATGTCTGACTTGTGTGTCAACGTGAAAAGGACAGCGACTCCTTGGTTTGAAAGATGTTAAGAGTGTCAGCCAAAGAGGCTTAGAGGGCCTGAAGTTGCCGCACAACCTCTCCAAACCGAGAGGCCAATCGAATTAAATACAGTCACCATGTTTGTTTGAACTAAGGGTGTTGAAAGTTTCATGTTTTTTGTGAAAAATGTTTTCATTGGAGAGGGAGAAAAATGAGATGTAATGTTTTTCCCCCTTTGTCAGCAAACAAGCTTGACATCAGGAAAGTGGCCGGTTATCAGCACTGAGTCCCGATGGGAGGACCCGCTGCAGGAACTATTGGGGAAACACTGTAGTATCCATGTTTTGTTCCAGGCTCGTGCATGTTCACATGGAAAATTATGCCATAAATCAGCATGGCTTTTCCATAATGGAAAACAACATGGAATATTTCACACCCACAGCAGAACATCATGGAGTGTGATGCCCCAACACAACACACACACACACACACACACACACACACACACACACACACACACACA